TGGAGGAGGCTTGTGACTGACTCGTTTCTGCTTCTGAGTGTGTGTGTGTGTTTGCAAGGAGGCTTCGGGCTACCTGGTAAGGTAAGGTGCTGTTGTCTGCTTTTCAAAAAACTGTTCCCGGTGTTTTTGCGGTGTGGTTTTGGGCTGGGCGGGTTATGTTTCTGTGCTGTGCTGGGTCTTGGGAGGGTTATTTGTTTTTTTGTCCCCTCCCCCATTTCTGATGGGTCTTGGGGGGTTTTGTTGCTTTTTGGAGTGTTTATTTCCCATTTCCGATGGGTCTTGGGGGGTTTGTTTCTATTTTGGTTCCCCCCCATTTCCGATTTGTCTTGGGTTTTTTTGTTGCTTTTTGAAGTGTTTTTCCCCCATTTCCGATGGGTCTTGGGAGTTTGGTTGCTTTTGGGGGGGGGGTCCCATTTCCGATCGGGCCTGCGTGCTTCCCTTGCTTTTTCCTGTTTTTTTTTTTTTTTTGTTTTTGCGCCTCCCCTTTTCCTCTTTGTTCTCTGTGCATTTCTGATCTGCTCCATTTATTTTCTGTGCATTTCCAATGCGTCTTGCACGCTTGATTGCTTTTCTCCCCCCCTTTCAGCCGAAAGGGATTAATCGCATTTCCAATGAGCCTTGCCGTGATTTTTTGGGAGTGTGTATGATTTTTTTTCCTTCAGCCAGAATGGATTAATTGCATTTCAATGCATTCCTATGGGAAATGGTCCTTCAATTTACATCCATTTTGAATTACGGCCATCTTCTGGAACAGATTATGGTCATAAATTGAGGCACCACTGTATTGGCTATCTGGCTATGTCCATGTGTACAGTCATCTGTTTGGTTTCCTGAAGCAATATTTGCAATAAATAGATGGTTGGCTTCACAGAACTCTCTGAGTCATTCTCCAGCTTCATTTCCAATCCCTTGATGAAATTTTCCAAGAACATTTGGTTCTGCAACATTTGTGTTTCTACGTGCTATTAAATCCTATGCCAACTAGGCACTATTAAGCTGGGAAACCATCCAAGAAAATAAGATTTTTGTAAGACATTATTCAAATTACACAGCATACATTTAAAGGGTTTAGCGCATTACAAAAAAGTAAAAATTTATATTTTATAAAAATTGTTCATAATAAAATCTTCAATGAGCAGAAACCTATGTATACACTTAGAAATTTAAATCCTGTTTATGTGGGCGTAAATGGAAATGACATCATCAACCTACAATGTTACTCTGTAATTTACTTAAAGCTTCCTATCCCCCACCCTTTACATTCCATGGCTCCTTAGGGATCCCTTGGGATAGGAACAGGGGGTTTAACATCAGAAAATTGCCTCCAGATTGCTGCCACAGTCAGCAACTTTCTGGTATTAACGGCTTCATCTCCCTGTCCTGAAGTTCCCAAAGGTTTTCCCAGCTTAAAACAGATCCCTATGGAAAGGTTTTGTTCCAAGCAAGGAGTATGATTATTTCGTACAGATGACTTAAGCACTTTTTAATGCATTCTGCTACTGAAATAACTGAAAGAAGAAACAGTTTAAAATTGTTTCCTGTGTGTATGTGCTACCAGATTTCTTCCAATGTATGGGAACTCTAAAAGAGTTTTCAAGGTACGTGAGTTTTACTGCTGCCACCTCCCAGTGAATTCCCATGGCCAAATTGGGTTGAAGCCAAGTCCCCTGAATCCTGGTCTAATACTCCATCTACTAAACTACACTGGTTCTCAAAATGTTCTACTAAAATCATTAATAGCAGAATTGGGGAAAATATGGCTATAGAGATTTTTTTAAATTTCAATTCCACGAAGTCCCAGTTAGCATGACCAATAGTAAAGGTTTGTGAGATGTTATCACCTTGAGTTCAAAAGGATTCCACCGCTGTCTCATAGAAACATCACTTGCCTTTAGAAAGCTGGGTACTGTATTCAGAACCCTGAAACCTGTCTTGACTGTACCTCTTTAAAACAACCACTAAGCCACTTGGCTGACCAGCTGTCAGCCTCTACAAGAGATCAATTTTTATTTTATTTATTTATTTATTTGATTTATACCCCACCCACCCATCTGGTCTATAAGACCACTCTAGGCGGCTTCCAATATCACACAGAACAGATCAAGGGATGATCAAGAAGTATTAGGAAACATTACTGGATAAAGACCAATAATGAATAATGAACAATAAAATACACAAAATGAAGAAACTTTGAATACTTCTATAGTACAAACAGAAATCGCAGATTGTTGCAGCCAACCATTAAGGGTAAAACAAATGGAAAAAGAAGTGCAAGAACTTATCAGCTGAACCGCCTTGGAAAATAGTCTGGATGCAACACAACATTATTATTTAGAACTGCTACGTCATTCCTGGCGAGATTAATCCAAAAGAGTATAACCTAAAATATACCACGTATAATCTTTAAAAATAGCGGAATTTTTTTTCTCTTTAGAAAGTTCGGTTTATTCCCTGGAATTTCGAGCAAGACCAGAAAAAAAGATTTGCATTTGAAACTGTGGAAAGCTAGCATCAGGCAGGGAACTAAGAAACTGGATGAAAAACTGCAGCTTCCTGTGTCCCACTGAACTAATTTTTCTTAGTAAACACGCACGGCTTCCCCAGGCGTGAGCACACCCATTTATTTGCCTGCACACGTTTTCGCCCCACGTGTCGCTGGACTCGCAACCTGCCGACAACTCTCCCCTACGGACCAAGTGGACCCCAAACCCCAAGAGATCGTCCCCTCCGCCTTCCTCGCGGCTTTGTTTGTGTTGTCTCAGGCGCTGGCCGGCGACGTCACTTCGCGCCGCCCCGTCCTTTGTTTACTTTCGGTGCCCTTCGACGCTCGGCGTCTTTGGCCGTGGGCAGGGGCGGGGCGTTGTGTGTGTGTTTGGGGGAACTGAACGGTCGTGTCTCGAGGCGCTTCCTGATTGGCCAAGGGAACGTGTGGTGGAGGTGGAAGGCGGGACACCGCCACCGCCGCGGCAGCAAGAGCGCTTGTTCTCGCGACCGGGTCCGTAACTGCCGGGAGGGCGGACCTGCTCAAGCTCAGGCGCCTCCTCAGCGCGAGGTAGGGGTTGTTGGCTGCGCGGTTCTTCTCCCCCGCCCGCTGCTCTCGTCTTATGAGCCCGGGCGGGTTCGGAAGGCGCTCGTTCCCTTGCCGGTGAGGAGGAAGAGAGGTCGGGGAGGGGGAAGCAGGGAGCATGGCGGCCTCGGCGTCGGAAAAAAGCAGCAAGAAGAAAACAGAGAAGAAACTTGCGGCTCGAGAGGAGGCTAAATTGTTGGCCAGCTTCATGGGTGTCATGAACACCATGAGGAAGCAAGTAAGGCGCGGGAATGGGCGAAAGGGGGGCCTGCAAGGAGTCGGGGTGGGGTGGGGGAGAGAGAAGGGAGTGTGGCCTTCTATGAGGGGGAAAGCCGTGATGAGGCCTCTTAAAACTGCGGGGTCCCCCCCTCCATCCCTCCCTCCTGCGGGAACCCCCCCTCCATTGATGCTGGCCACCATTGATAATTACAAATTATCAATTTGACCCTGAAACCGGCCTAGTGAGTGTGGAAGAGGAATAGAAGAGGCATCATTAGCGGCTTAATGGCTCATTAGAAAGCTTGGGTTGCTTCTCTTGCATTTTTCTTTTGTGTTTGCCACCCTCGCAATCGCCCTGCTGTCAGGCCAGTGTTGTGATTCTTATATCGGACCTTAGGGTGGGATGTGGAGGCTGAAAGCCTGGCTTGCCTCAGATTGCATCCCAGTGTGTGAGGTTTGAAGTAGGGAAGTCCATATTTAATTCAGTGTCTCATACTGTATTTCTTTTACTGCTTCTATGGCAGATCTCTGAACTGTAGGTTTATTGTATAAGTGCCATTAATATATGTGGAAATAACATGTTAGTTACTGGTGTTCCACTTCCGTCATCCCTTGCTACCACACACATTGCAAGTGATGCTGGGAGTTGCAGTCTAACAATGTCTGGAGGGCCATTAGTTGCTAACCTTGTTATACAGCCTCTTCTCAAAGTAGAGAAGAAAACCTCAGACACCTGTATACAGTACGTCATGCAGCCATGCTATCAGTGAGCTTGCTTCAGGTATGACTCAGTTTGAATTCAAGGCACTGTCAACACACTTCCCAAATTATTTGTCATATGTAATGTTCCTGCTAGTTTATCAAAGAAAATTAGAATTTTCACAATTCTCTTAAGCAGATGAAATATTTGTGTCTGTATAGTAATTTTGACTCTTTTGCTTTAGAAAACACTCTGTGATGTTATTCTTATGGTCCAGGAAAGGAAGATCCCAGCTCATCGTGTTGTACTTGCTTCAGCCAGCCATTTCTTTAACTTAATGTTTACCAGTAAGTCTTCAAAATTCAATTTTTATACCTCTTTATAAAATTTTTGTATTATCTATTTACCAGGCTTCCAAAGAAAGGATGAGTTGCCTAAGTAATGTATAAACAGGTGAATTTTGGTATAAATCTATATATCAACTTTTCTTCATTGTCTTTCATCTATGTTGCTAGATAATTTTGTCAACCCAAACGAACTTCAGTGGCACCATGTCATTAAATCTCTGAGATGAATCGGCTAATTTTTTCTGTAGAGCTGGGATGGAGTTCTAACATGAGCTAGGGGGCCACATTCTCCCATTGGCAGTGTCAGGTGGAGCTTTCCCATGTGGCACTTTAGCCAAGAATGTCCCTGTACATGAAATTGCTTTTTAAAAACCTCCTTACTAAACAAAACAAATATTAGACAATAACTCCTTTTAAGATCAAAGGAAAAATATTTGTTACTGGTGTATGACAATGCTGTATATGTAATTGCAGCAAATATGATTGAATCAAAATCATTTGAAGTGGAGTTAAAAGATGCAGAACCGGATATTATTGAGCAGCTTGTGGAGTTTGCTTATACTGCAAGGTAGGGTAATTGATAATTTGTAATGTTTGTCAATGTAAAAAAAAAAACAATAAAATTTTGTTATTTCCTTATGAATGAGAAACCTGACATTAAACTACCAAAAGTTAACATTTCTAATTACATTGGTGAAAGATGGTAGACCAATTATGTTGTTATATGGAAGTGGAGTTTGGCTGTGAGTGTGTTGGGATTAATATTTTATCCTATAATGTTTTATCCTGTAATATTTTACCCAGAGTAGTGTGTTTTCACTAAATGGGAAATGTATACATTCAGTCAATAAACATAGTTGTAAATTATACTGTTTCCTCATTTTGTATATGTTTAAGCTGGCAAGGTTAAGAATAAATCTTTAATAACTTAATTTAGATATGTTTGAAATGCAGTATACTGAGTTTAAATTCAGGTTTGTTTATAATTTTATGTCTGGTTCTTTCTGGTTATGGTAACATCCCTTTTGCAGAATTTCTGTAAACAGCAACAATGTGCAGTCATTGTTAGATGCAGCAAATCAGTATCAAATTGAACCTGTGAAAAAAATGTGTGTGGACTTTTTGAAAGAGCAAGTTGATGCTTCAAATTGTCTTGGTAAGGTGGTTTCCTTTTATTATAGAAGTGTTTAAAGGGACTTCTTTACTTTTCAAAGATGGAAAATTAGTTCTCTTTACCACAGCTTGTAATGAACATACAGTGGTGCCCCGCTTGACGATGTTAATTCGTTCCAGCGAAATCGCTGTAGAGCGAAATCATCGTCAAGCAAAATAAAAAAACCCACTGAAACGCATTGAAAACCATTCAATGCGTTCCAATGGGCGAAACACCTTCTCGTCCAGCGAAGATCCTACATACGGCAGCCATTTTCTGGTGCTTGTAATGCAATGAATCCGTCCCTAACTCAGCGGGGAGCCATTTTGAAACCCGACTTGTCATAGTTCAGGACAATTTTCCCACTGAAGTGTTTCGGGTCTAATTTGACAAGTAAAAACACAATCTGAACATCTATTAATGCCATATACATTTCAAATCAATGATAGATCTACCTGAATTGTCTTTTAATGTGTTAGAGTTAGTTTTTAAGATAAACAAACTTTAACTATTTTTTCTGCAGTTTAATTATTCCTTCTAAGTCAATGGTTTATTGGGTAACTAGCCAATTACAATGACTCAACCCATGGTAGTGACTGACAGTGGTTTTGATACTTTGCAAGACAGCGGTACTCTGATCCTTTTTTGCCATGGTGTACATCATAAATTTTTAAAAAGCATTGTATAATATATTTCACAAACATTACACTTTTGCCATTCTGCATTAGGTATAAGTGTGTTAGCAGAATGTCTTGACTGCCCAGAACTGAAGGCCACTGCAGATGATTTTATCCATCAGCACTTCACAGAGGTTTACAAAACAGATGAGTTTCTGCAGTTAGATGTTAAACGTGTGACACATCTCTTGAACCAAGATACACTAACTGTAAGAGCAGAAGATCAGGTGAGGGTCCAGTTTCTTCAGCTTTAATCTTATAGTTAAGAATTGTAATTTTTAAGCAGTAATGCTGTAAACCATACTTAAGCTGTGTGAGCAAATTTTCTGTGGAATCTGGAACACACAGACCTGCATACACAACTTGGGTGTTGTATGGGAACTTCTGACCAGCTGTCAAAGTTAGTACGTTCTCAAAGTCAAAATATATAATGAAGCATGCTCCAAATAGAATGAAGAGCTGTGGTCAAAAGTAAGATAGGCAAATATGACTGTAGAGGTGTGTGAAGATGCACATGGAATTCTGAATCAGAATTTGGGGCTCTCATCTATAAAATGAAAGCAACTGGCTTGTTTTTGGATGAAACAAATGCCCTGGATCCATTCCAGTCCGGTTTCAGGCTGCACCATGGTACAGAAACGGCATCGGTCGCCCTATATGATGACCTACTGAGGGAGGCTGACAGGGGTAAAACATTTCTGTTGGTCCTCCTCGATATCTCAGCGGCCTTTGATACCGTCGGCCATGGTATCTTCCTGAGGAGGCTCTCCAAATTAGGAATTGGTGGCCTGGCGTTTGCCTGGCTCCAATCCTTCCTCAGGGACCGTCCTCAGAGAGTACAGCTTGGGGAGAGGGTATCGGCCCCCGTGGAGGCTCAATTGTGGGCTTCTACAGGGCTCGATCATCTCCCCAATGCTGTTTAACATCTACATGAGGCTGCTGGGTGGGGTCATCGGGGGTGGGGGTGGGGCATTGTGCCATCAGTACGCTGATGACACTCAGCTCTACATCTCCTTTTCACCAACTGCAGTGGATGCCGTTCTGTCCCTTCAGCGCTGCTTGGAGTCTGTGCTGCCATGGATGCAGGAAAATGGGCTGAGGCTGAATCCGGACAAGATGGAGGTCCTGAGGGTGGGTAGCCCCACCATCAGCGGTCTGGGAAACTCTCATTGGGGAGGTGACTCTTACCACAAAGAGTGAGGTTCGCAGCTTGGGGTTCCACCTGGACCCGGCACTCACCATGGAAATTCAGGTGGCATCAGTGGTCCATCCCGCCTTTTTTCATCTTTGGCGGATAGCCCAGCTGCATCCCTATCTTGATGTTGGGGCACTCACCACTTTGGTACATGCGCTTGTAATCTTGAGATTAGACTAATGTAATGCGCTCTACATGGGGCTACCTTTGAGGCTGATGTGGAAACTCCAAATGGTGCAGACTGCAGCGGCCAGACTCCTTAGTGGAGTGAGAAAATATATCTCTCCTATTCTGGCCGCTTTGCATTGGCTGCCCATTCGGTTCCACATTGACTTCGAAGTCTTAATGCTTACGTACAAAGCCTTAAACAGTTTAGGGCCTCGATACTTGGTGGAATGCCTACTCCCACCAAAATCTACCCGTATCACCCAATTGAGTCAGGAGGTGAGGCTGAGGAGCCTGACGCCGAGGGAGGTCCAGAAAAAAAAAACAAGGAAATGGGCCTTCTCAGCAGTGGCTCCTCGCCTCTGGAATAATTTTCCTCCTGAGATCCATGCGGCCCCTTTGCTGGGCGTCTTTAAAAGCCAATTGAAAAATTGGCTGTTTAGGCAGGCCTTCCCTTCTGTTATTATTTGATTTACTTTCTCTTATCTTTTTCCATCTTGAATAATTTGGTTACTCATGTCTATAATGTTGTTATATTTTATATTGTCTTATTATATATGTTGGAAGCCGCCCAGAGTAGTCAGTCGACTAGATCGGTGGGGTATAAATGCAATAAACAAACAAACAAACAAATAAATATCATGGCATTGGCTGAAAAACAGCATTAATCTTTCCAAGTTCATATTGAAAGGTTGCTAGAAGGGATAAAGATATGAGTCATGTCTAACTTTTGCTGTACATTGCTTCAGGTAAGAAATTAATAAATTAGAGTTAAAACTAATTTGGTTCAATTCACTAAGGAGGATGTCTAAAATTGGTATGTAATTGATAAATGGTAGAACTCAAATGTTATATGTAAGGCAAGTTGTTTCAAGCATATCTGCACAAATATGTTAACTTTGTAACTGACAATCACTGGTTGTAAAATAACTTGGTTGCATAAAAGCCTATTTCAGCTAATGCCTACTTTGTCTCAGCTCTGGAGGTTCATGGTTCTGTAATTCTTAATCCCTGGCAGTAAGGTAGAGAAGCTGTTGTTGCCAGAGAACTGTGCCAATTTGGATTCCTTTTTACCTAGACTTGTTTTCTTTCCTTCGGTGTCTTCAGGTTTATGATGCTGCTGTCAGATGGCTGAAGTATGATGAGCCAAACCGTCAGCCATACATGGTTGACATTCTTGCGAAAGTAAGGTTTCCCTTAATTTCAAAGAATTTCCTCAGTAAAACAGTACAGGCTGAGCCACTAATTCAAGACAATCCAGAGTGCCTCAAAATGGTTATCAGTAAGTGTTTCTAGGCATATTTTCAATATTCTTTCTTTGGAAATTGTTTTTCCCACTACAGAAAATCTCATTGTTACAGAAAATTAAGATTGACTTGACTCTACTAGTAGTCCTACTGTTAATTATTTTTCCTGAATCCAGAAGGGTGACTAGTGAAATGTAATCATTCAGTGTACAAACTGGGTCGCAATCATTCTGAGTTTTCTGACTTACATTTCCCCAGGTTTCAATTGTCCTTTGTATTTGTTTTAGCATAATCACAACCAGCACAGACCTCTTGAAGCAGTGGGGGATTTGGTACTCAGTCTGTCTGTAATTCAGTGAGCCAGTTGTGACTTACTATGCTAAGCAACGAGATTTCAATCATAGTCTTGGAATTTTACCCCAAAATAAAGAATTCCTTTTTGCTGTGAGAGTGCTTGGGCCCAAATAGCTTTGTTGGAACAAAGAGGTCATGAGTTATGGGGTTGCTTCTCCATAATCACAGAGTAACTGGTATTCTGCATTACCTTGTGTGTATTTATTTTAAACTACATGCCACTTAATAGAATAGAATTTAGATTTGAATGGAAATTTTGCTTATGAATGTTCAGTTAGTATAAACTATTTTACCTATTGGTGGGAATGCTGACTGCATCTCCTTTTGGAAAAGGGTTATTTAGTTGTGACTAGAATGCACTTTACATAGCGCTTAGCTTTGGAAAGCCCCCAAAATTCCAGTAGTTAATAACACAAAAGCTAGAGTGTGAACTGGGATTCGGGCAGTGCCAAAGAATGCTCCAACTACCGTACAATTGCACTCATTTCACACACTAGCAAGGTTATGCTCAAAATCCTACAGTAGGCTTCAGCAGTATGTGGACCGAGAACTCCCAGAAGTACAAGCTGGATTTCAAAGGGGCAGAAGAACTCGAGACCAAATTGCTAACATGCATTGTATTATGGAGAAAGCCAGAGAGTTCCAGAAAAACATCTACTTCTGCTTCATTGACTATGCAAAAGCCTTTGACTGTGTGGACCACAGCAAACTATGGCAAGTTCTTAAAGAAATGGGAGTGCCTGACCACCTTGTCTGTCTCCTGAGAAATCTATATGTGGGACAGAAATCAACAGTTAGAACTGGAGTTGGAACAACTGGTTGGTTCAAAATTGGGAAAGGAGTACGACAAGGCTGTATATTGTCCCCCTGCTTATTTAACTTATATGCAGAATACATCATGCGAAAGGCTGGACTGGAGGAATTCAAGCCGGAATTAAGATTGCGGGAAGAAATATCAACAACCTCCAATATGCAGATGATACCACTCTGATGGCAGAAAGCGAGGAGGAATTAAAGAACCTTGTAATGAGGGTGAAAGAGGAGAGATCAAAAAATGGTCTGAAGCTCAACATCAAAAAAACTAAGATCATGGCCACTGGTCCCATCACCTCCTGGCAAATAGAAGGGAAAGATATGGAGGCAGTGACAGATTTTACTTTCCTGGGCTCCCTGATCACTGCAGATGGTGACAGCAGCCACGAAATTAAAAGACGCCTGCTTCTTGGGAGGAAAGCGATGACAAACCTCAACAGCATCTTAAAAAGCAGAGACATCACTTTGCCAACAAAAGTATGCCTAGTCAAAGCGATAGTTTTTCCCATAGTGATGTATGGAAGTGAAAGCTGGACCATAAAGAAAGCTGACCACCAAAGAATTGATGCTTTTGAATTGTGGTGCTGGAGGAGGCTCTTGAGAGTCCTCTGGACTGCAAGGAGGACAAACCTATCCATTCTAAAGGAAATCAATCCTGAGTGCTCACTGGAAGGACACGTCCTGAAGCTGAGGCTTCAGTACTTTGGCCATCTCATGAGAAGAGATGACTCCCTGGAAAAGACCCTGATGTTAGGAAACTGAAGGCAAGAGAAGAAGGGGACGACTGAGGATGAGATGGTTGGACAGTGTCATCGAAGCTACCAACATGAATTTGACCCAACTTTGGGAGGCAGTGGAAGACAGGAGGGCCTGGCATGCTCTGGTCCATGGGGTCACGAAGAGTCGGACACGACTAAATGACTAAACAACAACATAGCAACTGTATTTTCCAGTGAACACATTTCTTCACTAGGCTTCAGTTTCTAAGCACAGTTTGGTACTATGGAATTTTTTTCTTCATAGGGACCTGCCTGCTATTCTTAGATCTTTGTGGTTTTTCCCCACTACTGAACATTGAACAAGGGTTTTCTCTGTGATGGTGGCTTGGTAATGACATTCTCTTTGTGGAGGTTTAAGGTTCTGTTCAGTTTGGCTGCCTCTACACCTTGGTGCAAGCAACAGGGCTTCTCTATTGAAGACAGCAGGGGAAGTGTTACAGGTCACTTTCCTATTCCTGTCACTAAGAAGGCAATCTGATAACATTTGCTGTTCATTGCAAGATTACTTAGCCCTAGGTCTATTACCGTCCAAGACAGAGCTGTTGTAAAATGCCTCTCGCTGCTTCATTACCCAGTTTGGGCAGATTTGGGAAGGGCAGGCACGCCATGTTACATAACTAGAGATATGTGCAAATGCCTTCCCTCCTCTCCCTTTCTCCAGACAAATATAAGGGGAAGGGAACAGAATCACTACTATCTAATTTGCCAAAGCAGTGTGGTTCAGCAAACTGATTTAACTGCCCTGGTATTTAATATATCAGAGGTTCTTTGCATAGACAGTGTCATCTTCATTTCATTAAACAGTTTTTGTTCCAAAAATTAATTACAGTTGGAAGATTAAGGACACTGTTCAAAGTAGCTCATATATCTATCACTCAAGTTCAGAACGGCATTGGTAGAAATGTAGCTATCTATTTAAAAATATCCTCTACAATGACATTTTTTCAGCAGTTTTACGTACAGTAAACCTACGCACGACCATCTGTGACTTCATTGCAGATTTAGGCTACAACTAGACTATATGTTAACAAAAAAATAATATAAAATACATGAAGTAAGCTTCAGGCTTTTGTGTGTTACTCCCATGACCCAGCCAGGCCAATGTACATCCCTGTCATTTTAAAGGATGATGATGATAAATTAATGTAAAATATTAAATATGCTTCAGAAACAAATTTGGATTTGTTGGAACATTAGAAATGATAAACATTACTAATAGTGAGGTAAATTCTTACCAATTTAACTTAGACGCCATATTCTCTGCTATGTCTGAAGCATTCTCTGCTTTATTAAAGCCTTTTGGATATTGATTTATTTTCCAAACATATTTGATGGCATTCATTTGGTATCATTATTATCTGAGATGCTTATTCCATGGTAGCAGTTCATAGAGCTCTGTCCCTGATAATTAGTGAGAAATGAATTTCTAAAAAGTAAGAAATGCAAATTATTGTGGCCTTTTCCTGTATTTGGCAGTTGTTGTAAATCAATTTAAAAAAACAGGGTAAAAAATAAACTTCACTTGTTTTCTTCCTTGTTCTGTGTTCTTACATTGGAAACAAATTTCACTTTGAGCTACATGGAGTCAGCATGTGCTTTTTTTGTTCTAGGTGGAATGAGATACCATCTGCTTTCTCCGGAGGACAGAGAAGAATTGGTAGATGGCACTCGCCCACGAAGAAAAAAGCATGATTACCGTATTGCCTTGTTTGGAGGATCACAGCCACAGTCTTGTCGCTATTTTAATCCAAAGGTACTCTTATGTTATGGTACTTGGGTGCATGGTATGTGGTTTGTGAAATCTCTTATTTCAGTTTCACATGTACCAACCTATATGTTTTATAGCAGGTGTCCCATCCTTTTTAACCCTGCAGACTGGCTGGGGAAGGTGGGGCACCCCCACTCTCGTGCGCATGCGCGGGAAGCATGCACTCTTGTGCAAAGGAGCGGGAGGGTGCTCATGCAGGTGCTCGTATGCATGCGCAAAGTGTATGTGACTAATTGAACAAGATAATAATGCTTACTTGAATGTAGTGTAGAAAGACAAAATTCAGATTAGGAATGTGCTTGCATTCCTGATCCAGCAGGTGATACACGTGTAGATCTCCTTAGGTGGCTCAAGATGTTAGCATTGCCTGGCTAATTTGCAGTTTGGCACTTTGTTCTAGAATGTGCAGCATTGTTGCTTGGTGGATTGTAGTCACTTTTCATTAAATTTATTTGCACATGCTCAAGCAGGTCTCCCAGCTGCAGGAATCAATGTGTATATGCTTGTTCTTAACTGTCTGCTGATATGGCTGCAGGTATTTTTGGCAGCACTATTCACAGTTTATTATAGGTAACAACTAAAGGTAGATTATATATAATCTATGGCACAGAAAATGAATTCTTGGTTGTCATGACAACACTTCTCTGCAAGTTCCATTTTTCCTAATTATAATTCTTACAGTCTGATCTTTTCTTCTCTCTCTCTTTCTCTCTTGTTCCACAGTGTATCCTTTCTTGCCTATTTTTATCTATTCTGTTTTAAAGTCAATTCAACTTCTAGAAGAATGCTTCAGAATTAATGATATAATATATAGGCCAGGTCTCTTAAACATACTTTCAAGCAACTTTTTGTCTCCTTTTTTCTGCCTCTGCCATTAAATGTTGATTACCCAAATTGAATGACTACTTGAAACTGACATGGTAATGAAATTAAATGCTGCTAAAACAGCACAGTGAAGAAAATTGGTGATGCTTGAAAAAAATCTTACATAATGAAAGAACTCTGCTGACATAAAAACAGTTACAAGTTCTTGGTTCTTCTTTGATCTATGTTTCTATACTCTTCTAAACCCAGAGTTAATATTATTATTATTATTTTATTTATTTATTTAATTTATATCCCGCCTATCTAGTCGTGGTGGACTACTCTATGAATTTTCCACTGTTTGGTATTGACACTTGTCCACTACATGTAATTGAGGTCTTCCAACTAAATCAAGGAACTGGCAGTTTTCAAAGTACAAACCTATATGTAGCTAGAGTACTGGAGCGCAAAAGAATTCAAATTCACAGTTTTAAACATACATCATTTATAAAGCTCACCAGGTGACTTTGAGCCACTTAGTGTCTCTCAGCCTAGTACACCTAACATAATTAGTCTGAGGGCAGAAAGCTCAGAAGGAGAACTAGCTGTTCTGTACCAGGTTTCTTGAACAAGTGGTGGGATAAAAATAAATACAGTGGTGCCCCGCTTGACGATTACCTTGTTAGACGAGGAAATCGCTTAACAATGAAGTTTTTGCAATCACTTTTGCGATAGCAAAACAGTGTTTTAATAGGGAAAATCGCTTAACGATGATCGGTTCCCTGTTTCGGGAACCGATTTTTCACTTAACGACAATCAACACAGCTGATCATCGGGCTTTCAAAATGGCCGCCCGCTGTGTATAATGGCTCCCTGCTGTGTTTTAGGATGGATTCCTCGCTATACAGGCACCGGAAAATGGCCGCCCTATGGAGGAGCTTTGCTGGACGCTGAGGTATTTCGCCCATTGGAACGCATTGACCCGGTTTTCAATGCATTTTGATGGGATTTTTACTTTCACTTGATGAAGATTTCGTTCTACAGCGATTTTGCTGGAATGGATTATCCTCGTCAAGCGAGGCACCACTGTACATGCAAATAAATGGCTGTAAAACTTTGAAGAGACTCAGACTAGCCTAGGTATTCTCTGTAACCTATACTGTTCCTTGTCTTTTCCTTATATAGGATTACAGCTGGACAGATATCCGATGTCCCTTTGAAAAGCGGAGGGATGCAGCTTGTGTCTTCTGGGACAATGTAGTTTATATTTTAGGTGGCTCCCAGCTTTTTCCTATAAAGCGAATGGACTGCTACAATGTTGTGAAAGATAGCTGGTATTCCAAATTGGGGCCTCCAACCCCCCGTGACAGCCTTGCAGCTTGTGCAGCAGAGGGTAAAATTTATACATCTGGTGGTTCAGAAGTAGGTAAGACACTTACATGGGTTTAGTGGTGGGAACCTTAAAATAAAAACCACATGTAAGAATCCACATTGACTTGGCATACATAAGACTACTGGATAGTCAACCTTTGGCAGAGGCAGCAAGAGTGTAGCTCACAAACTCAAGATCAAAGGGTTTTGTAAGCCAGGTTTTGTTAGAGAATTTAATATGTTCTGGCATACCTCTCCAGTACTATGCTTCTGGTAGTAGAAACAAGCAATAGTTTGGGAGTGCTTGTGAGGATTTTGTTGAGGTCTGTTGCACTTTTCCAGAACATGAGGCTTGATTCTCCTAATGGTTTTACTTAGACTTCTACTGAGGGGAGGGCAAGCATACCTTATCTAGGTTGTGTCTCAAGTATTACAGCGATGAAGAGGTTTCTAGGCTTTATAGTTTTGTTTATGTAAGAACAAAAGAAAATATGTATTCTCAAAGGCTTTCACAGCCAGGATCCGATGGTTGTTGTAGGTTTTTTAGGCTGTTTGGCCATGTTCTGAAGGTTTTTCTTCCTAATGTTTCGCCACTCTCTAGCTGGAATCTTCAGAGGACAGAACTCTGTGTTCTGGTTAAGCCACACACTACACCAGAACATAGGGTTCTCACTCCTGTCCTCTGAAGATGCCAGCAACAGAGAATGGTGAAACATTAGGAAGAAAAACCTTCAGAACACGGCCAAACAGCCTGAAAAACCTACAACAACCAAAAGAAAATATGTTTTAATTGAATTGTCTAATACAGTGGTGCCTCGCTTAGCGATCGCTCCATTGAGCGACGAAATCGCTTAGCGACGGGGTTTTGGCCATCGCAAAAGTGATCGCTTTGGTTTGCAATGGTCCCTATGGGGAAAAACTGCTTTGCGATGATCGCAGGGAAGCGATCATGGCAAAGCGACCCTTTTTAAACAGCTGATCGGCGGTTTCAAAATGGCCGCTGGAAGAACAAAATGGCCGCCTGCTGTGTGTCCTCGCTTTAGAGGCACCGAAAATGGCCGCCCCTATGGAGGATCTTTGCATAAGGTTAGTTTTGAAGCTCATAGGAACGCATTAAACGTGTTTTAATGCGTTTCTATGGGCTTTTAAAAATCACTTAGCGATGAAATCGCTTAGCAACGTTTTTCTGGGAACGGATTAACGTCACTAAGCGAGGCACCACTGTATGTCTATCACCATCCTTCTACTCACTCACTCACTCACTCACTCACTCACTCACTCACTCACTCACTCACTCACTCACTCACTCACTCTATTATTTTTTACCCCTCCCTAGACAAAGTCTACTTGGGGTGGCTTACACACATGATAAAAACATCATAATACAACAAATATCTTAAAAATCAATTTAAACATCATAATTTTAACACTTATTTTAAATCATTACCAAGATGATTTAATTTCAAAGACAAAGAATAGAAATCAGTTATTGACTGGAGGGAAGGCCTGCCTAAAGAGCCAAGTTCTTAAATGTCTTTTAAAAACACCCAGTGAGGGTGCCAGACGGATTTCTGTTGGGAGGCTGTTCCATAGTCAAGGGGCCACTGCCGAGAAGGCCTGTTTTTTTGTCCTTTCTTTCCGGGCCTCCCTCAGCGTTAGGCCCCTCAGCCATCCCTGCTGGCTATGCTGGGTGATTCACGTAGATCTAGGTGGGAGATGATCTGCCAAGTATCAAGGTCCCAAACCGTTTAGGGCTTTGTACGTTTCTTACCTACCTCGAAATCTAACACAGATAAGAAATGATCTTCAAATAACAAAATAAAATAACCAGAAACTAAAATATTAGAATATCCGTGAAAGTAAGTATAGCAAAATGGTAATCAGCAGTTGCTTTATTCCCTTCTGATCCCCAAATATTGGAATGATATGCTTCAACTTGTAATAAATGGTGAAATGAGGATGCACTCTAAATACTGACTTTTTAACAGCAAAATTTATTTTTAGCAGCAGATGGTACAGCAAAGACTGGGATTTTGAAGTTTTTAGTGATTCAGAAAGGTTAACCAGTCATCAACAATACCCTTATGTCTTGCAAGAGTTTAACACATGGGTAACTTTGAGACCATTCAGCTTGAAAAATACTGTTTTGCAAAATTTGGTGGACTTGAAGACCTACATTAGAATACTGAATTTATTACATGGCTACAAGTAGATGAAAGTAGATGATACAAGTATCAAAATCAATATAGTTGTTCTTTATTTTCAGGAAATTCTGCTTTATATTTATTTGAATGCTATGATACAAGAACAGAAAGTTGGCACACAAAGCCCAGCATGCTGACTCCCCGGTGCAGTCATGGGATGGTGGAAGCAAATGGTTTGATTTATGTATGTGGAGGAAGTTTAGGAAACAATGTTTCTGGAAGAGTCTTGAATTCCTGTGAAGTTTATGATCCAGCCACAGAAACGTAAGTACTAGCTTGAATATTATTTTCATGAGATTTTGTTTGCTTTCTTTTATTGGTTAAACTGCAGAGAGAAAAGACATTTCTAAACTGTGGAAGAAGTAGCTGAGACTAGAAATATTGTTTGTTTGTTTGTTTCCTTGTACAACACAGGAAAACTTGGAACAGCTGCCCAAGAGCCATGTGTTTATAAGACGCAAGAATTTTCAAGCACCAAAAAAACAACACTAGCTTATCTCTCTCTCTTTTGTAATGAAATTCTGCTTTTGTCGTAAATTGCAACTAGAATAGGTCCATTGAATCAGTAGAGATTTAGTAAGCCATCTCCTCTATAAATTCCATTGATTTAGTGGACCTACTCTATTTATGACTTACTACACTAATCAACAGGATTTCAGCCACCACTGTAGTTTATTGTCATGCTTTTCTGTAGTTGAATCCAATCATATAGGAAGCTAATGGTGTTTTTTCTCCTCTGTTACTATACTTAAAGAAAAAGAAAGATGCATAAGATGAAACTGAGAAAATTACATAATATTTTTAGGTGGACAGAGCTATGTCCGATGCTTGAAGCCCGAAAGAATCATGGTCTGGTATTTGTGAAAGACAAAATATTTGCTGTGGGAGGACAAAATGGCTTAGGTACGTATTACTTTGTATTGCCTGTTCATAAGACTTGTCACATCAGAGTTATCTGATGACAGGGCTACCTTGAGTCCGTCATTACCTCTCTTGTGCATGGTTTCAAGTCTACAAGCATAGAAGACAAGTATTAGAAGGAATAATGTGTTTTATTGATGGAATTGTGTATTTTACGGGATTTTTTTTAACCCTGCAAGCCATCTTGAGAGGATACTGTCCTGAAACACTGCATAAATAAATAAAACAAGGCTCAAATCAGATTATACTTTTCTACTCCATACAAAATTAGTCTGCTTCACATAAATCACATCTCTAGCAGAGATCTAATACTGACAGCAATTATATAGTATCTTAAAAATTACTTTAGACATTGAGAGTTTAAAACTGCAGTCTATACTCACCTAGGATTAAGCCCCACTAAACTCTACAGGATGCCACCGTAATTATTCCATCTTGCTCTAAACCCTGAACTTTCCTTATTTTTTTTCTATCATTAATCCCTCACTATATTGTTAGGCACAATGGCCAGTATCCTGTTGCATTATATGATCACACAAGGATGGCCATGTAAGCTTTGCCTTTACTCCTGCAGGCCTCCCATTGTGTATTAAGCCTTGCACTTCTAATGTAACAGGAGGCCTGCCAGAGCACAGAAATGCTTATGCAGTTGTACTTCTGTTCTGAGTAGGATACTGGCTAGTGTTTTTATTATTTTGTAATTGGTGAATTAATTTTTCAAACCCTTGCCTGTAGATTTTAATTCATGACATTAAAATGTTTCTCATTTGGCAGTTGTAATTTAGAATCCTTCAATTACTTGTTTAACCTGAAGTAGGTTATTGAGAAGTTCTGGAATATGTGGTTAATACTTATGTGTATTCCTTCTTTTTAAGGTGGCCTAGACAATGTGGAATATTATGACATTAAAGTGAATGAATGGAAGATGGTCTCCTCCATGCCATGGAAGGGTGTAACAGTGAAATGTGCTGCTGTAGGTTCTATAGTTTATGTATTAGCTGGTTTTCAGGGTGTAGGACGCTTGGGGCACATCCTTGAATATAATACTGAAACTGATAAGTGGATAGCCAACTCCAAAGTTCGTGCTTTCCCTGTGACCAGCTGTTTAATCTGTGTAGTTGATACTTGTGGCGCAAATGAGGAGACATTAGAAACATGAAGATAGGTGCTCTTGAAATAATAGGTTGCTACTCATGTATCTACATTTTAGTTTCATCTTGTCAGTACTATGGGAAACATGGAATGGAAACCTCCATTTTTATCTCTGCCATGTATATTTGTCTGTGCAAGTTTTATTTTTGAATTTCCTTCATAAAAATTCAAAATATTTCAAGAACCTAAATGGAAGGCACACAAAGACGGTCTCCTTAAGATAAATATGTACAATTTTGAAAAGAAAAAAAAGTAATGGCCTAAAGAATATTGTGAAACATTTCAAGAAAAGTGTCTACAGCTAACTTTTGGGGTGAGTTTTCAGTTAAAATACTGAAATTCTTCAAGTAGTAAAGATGAATCAAATTAGCATTAACTGGTGTAAATTTGCTTAACAGCTCATCTCTGTTCTGCAGAGATATATACTGCATTCCAGCCATGCAGCTTCTTCATTGGATTGTGCAATGTTAGTGTCTAATTGTTCAGAAAGTACTTCAGCGAATCAGTTCTTACTAATGGTTGTGCATTACTTCAATCTATGCTGTCTATACTGAGATGGCTCAGATAACTGAGGTACATCTATACATAAGCATCCCTTTTTTGAGTCTGGTTCTTCATTGCAGAACTAGAATGGTGCCTAAGAGAAGGCAGATAACTTTAAAAAAAATCTTAATTGCGGTCTGTGCAATATCATATAGTCTGTGGTAAATACTCTTGTCTTTTCAGTTATGTATATGGGATCTGCCTTTTCCACCTATTTCCTAAAATATCAATTGATAGTCATAGATGTCTCACAGATGAGAGCACAGACTACACTTCTCCGTATCCCCATGGGAACATTGGGGAGTTCAGGGATAAAAATGCTCTTACCTCTAGATAAAGATTAGATTACTTGTTTGCTCATAGAAAGAAGTTAACATAGTCAGGGCTACAGCAGGAGGGAAAAGCTAAACTTGGAAATCAGGTTTTACTTCCATTTGTTGCCTGTTCCTTTTTTCAGAAAAATGTGAAATCGAACCTACTGCTTGCCCTGCTCTGGTTTTCTTTGACTTGTCCTAGGGCAGGTACTGGCAGTGTGCGTCTCTCTAGGTGATGTTAGACTACAACTCCCAGCAGCATTTACCATTGTCTGTATGGGCTTGAACTGCTGCGAGCTATGGTCCAGTAACAGTTGGCTACTCTTTTTTTGTGTGGCCAAGATCAAACCCAGGAAACGTCCATTCCTTCTGGTTCTTTGCTTGTGCTTAAACAGATAAAATCTGTAACCGTTTCTTACATGCCTGTTGAAATACTGCATGTGAAGTCTCAAAAAACTGCAGTATGCACACTGTAAAAGGACTGAGTCACACCTGCAGGTAAAAAAAGTGAGTGACTTAATGTGCATTAGTCCATTCTTTTCCTGTTTACCTGTTTTATCACTTCCTGAGTCCTATTCTTATAGACAGAAACATCTTATGCTATCTGAGTACACTTCTGTGTATTTTGCTCTTAATACTGCCTTTTACCATAAAATCTCTGAATATGTTTGAAGCTATGTTAAACACAAATATGAATATAGCCTTTAAGGACTGTTTTTTCATGTTGGGTTTTAAAACAAATTCTGAAGCACATCTTTTTTATAATTCTGTCCTGAAGAATTTTTAAAAAAAACAGATTTGCCAATAATAGAATGTTTGAACACTACTAAGAATTAAGTCTGATCTCACCATGGCATGTACTATAAGTAATTCAGTCTTCCTTTTTGAACAAAAAATTCAAGCTTTGTTAATAAATAGGATTTTCTTGTGGTGGTTATTCATCTTTAATTAGTCAGATATGAGCTATCCAGTGTGGAACTTATCATGTTTCATAGTTCAGGATCATTACGTGTTACTGTATTCAAGCTGTGTGTGTCAAAACTTACCTGTTATTAGTCTATGAGGGGTAGATACAGCCAGTTTTTTTAAACGTTTTGTGTATTGAGAACGATGTATTGATAAAATTTGTCTGCTGAATATTTTTTTTGTTAAATATCAGTTTTTGAAAGTGAAGCAAATACCTCAGTGAAGCTCGTGGGTCAGTAAATTTTATTAATTAAATATTTGTTTTTCTTACCGTATCATGGTGCGTTCATTTAATACTCCACAGTAGTGATTGGGGTATTTGTATTTCAATATGAATCTCCCCCACAGATGCAGATAACGAGGGTCCGGCCCCCTGGAGCTAGACTGACTACTCACCATTTTGCTGCTGCCGCAGGCTCCTCAATCCCTTCCTATCGCTTCGGAGCTTGTGATGGATTAGCCACCTCATGGCAGGATGAAGCGCCTCTGCCATGTCGAAGAGTGGCTATTCCATCGTGAGCTCCAGAATCTCTACTCCACAGGGATATCATTTAACGTTCAAGACTCTTCACATATTAGAAATTGAAACAAACCTAGAAGAAAAATCAGTATTTTCTCAGTAGCTAAAAGTCAGTTGAGCTCTGGAGAGGTAGAAAGCACCATTACTTTCCCCAGCTCTAATCCCTTCTTTATTTATTTATTTATTTGATATGCTGCCCACACTACCCGAAGGTCTCTGGGCATCTTACAGCATTTAAAATACAATAAAAAGGCAAAATAAAAGGGCAAAATAATTAAAATGCAATTAAAATATATATTCCAAAAATTGCCAACAGACCCACAGCTGATATGTCTTGCTAATTCTACTGCAGCTAACCTTAAGTGTTGCAAAAGCCAGGGAATGCTAAGTGAACACAACTGTTTCAGGCTGCAGTATTTGCACACATGCCACTGGAGCTGTGAATTAGACGAAGTATAGTCCGGTAGCTCTGCTATTATTCTCTGTTCTTGAATAATGTACAGGATACTGCAGTGTAGGAACCTGGGATAGCAAAATGTGGCCTGCTTTGCACCCCTCCTCCGTAACTGCATATTTCTTTTATACAGTTATAAAAAGTTTATACACCTCTGTTAAAATGTCAAGTGTCTGTAATATAAAAAAATGAGACAAAGATAAATCATTTCAGCACTTTTTCCACCTTTAATGAGACCTATGAACTGTACAACTCAGTTGAACAATAAACTGAAATCTTTTAGGTGGAGGGAAGTAAAAATAAAAAAATGAAATAATATGGTTGCACCTGTGTGCACACCCTTTGTCTACAACCCTCTTATAACTGGGAATGTAACTGTGTTCAGCAGTAAACAATCACATTCAAACTCAAGTAGGAGTCAGTACATCCCTGCCATAATTTAATGTGCCTCTGAGGAATCCCAAATAAAGATCACCTGCTTTTCCTGACATTTTCTTAGTCCTATCCTACAGCAGAAGCCATGGTCCACAGAGAGCTTCCAAAGCATCAGAGGGATTTCGTTAAAAGGTCTCAGTCAGGAGAAGGATTTCCAAGGCATTAGATATACCATGGAACACAGTGAGGACAGTCATCATTAGGTGGAAAAAATATGGCTCAACAGTGACATTAGCAAGAACTGGACGTCCCTGCAAAATTGATGAAAAGACTAGAAGAAAATTGGCCAGGGAGGCTTCCCAAAGGCCTACAGCAACATTAAAAGAGCTGCAGGAATATCTGGTAAGTACTGACAGTGTGGTACATGTGACAACCATTTCCTGTACAGTGGTGCCTCGCATAGCGAGGTTAATTGGTTCCAAAAAAAACATCGTTATGGGAAAACATCGTTAAGTGAAACGTGTTTTCCCATAGAGATGCATTGAAAACCGGATAATCCGTTCCAATAGGAACGGATTGTCCGGTTTTCTCCCCCACTATCGGGCGCAGCCCTTTGGGAGAAGCCTCGGGGGAGGGGGAGAAGACGGCATCGGCTCCTGCCTTCTCCCCCACCACCTGGCTTCTCCCAAAGGGCTGCCCTGACTGTGCTTGCAGCAGCGGAAGAGGTGCCCGGTGCTGCAAGCACAGTCGGCCATGCCTCCCCCTTCTCAAGCCGCAGGAGGTGGGGGGGTGGGAGGCATGGCCGGACTCCTTGGCAGGCACCGCGGCTCAGATCCGATCTGATTATGTTTAGCACATGAATTCAAGCTTTCAAATGAGTTTTTCTTGTTTTTATATCTTCCCAGAAATATTTTTTTCATGCCTATTTAGTAAAGCAATAAAATGTTAAGAGTTATTTTGAAACAGAATTGAACTTAACCATGACGAAGACCCAGGCAAAGGAAATAAGAAATATAACATGCATCAGGGGTATAAATAATCCAGTAAGTTCATGGAAGAATAACAACATGGGCAAAATAATCTTGTCTTAATGCAACATAAGACCTAGTCAGTATTTAGACTTCTGTTGATGAACCTGGCTATGATTTTTATGAAAGTTAATATTTAGTTCATGCCTTTTACTTGACTAAGTTAAGTTACTACACTCAAAAGCCAATCATTTGACAAATGATTAAAAAAATACATATGAATTCAGTCCAGCTTGATTAACAGATTTATTAAAAAACATAATTCATGGTTTTGGCATGCTTTAAGGGTGATGACACATTACTATTCAGTGCTCACAGGATACTTCCATGGCAAAACTGCACTAATGTAGTTACACCACATAAGCTTGATGACATCATCAGCTCTGGCACTTACATTTTTATATGAGAAATTTCCTATCCTCCCTCCTCCTACAGTTCCTATGCTCTCTTAGGATCCCTTTGGTCCTGGAGAAGACTT